CGAATTGTAAAAGCTTGTATCACAAAAATTTAAAAAACGCCTAGGGGTATTTGCCCACTGTACCTCCATACCAAATTTCAGGACCTTAGGCCCTAAAATGAAGAAGCTGAATCCATTTAAAGAAATGGCAGGAGGAGAAGGAGAAGAAGAAACATCAGAAAAAGCAATATGGTTTCACCACACCACTTCGTGGTGTGGTGAACCCATAATAAAAAAAGGTTTATGCTTTGATGGGTCTAACGTAACCTAGTATAGCCAACGTCTGATCAACTTTTTTGATAGAATTATATACTGAATTAAGTATTTTAGAGCTAAGATTAAGATTTTAATTATGTTAAGTTTTGTGCCTTACCCAACATTCCTGAGTCTTCATGATATCCCGTGAACCCGCTGTGTCCAGCAACAGTGTCATCTGTGGACTGTCTGCGCTTCTTGTCGCCCAGACTCTTGCGGTAGTTGCCGATAAAAGTCTGAATGGGCATTTAACATTACTATTAACCGGTCTGATACTTAGTACGCAGTATCAATTGATTTGTAACATATACGCTTTGATTAGGCCAATACCTTGCATATACAGCATGAAATAACGTATTTACACAGGTTACATCTATAATTTGGACTAAATCTTACAGCACAAAACATTTTTCCTGCTTTAAGCTACAACTGATTATCATCAAAAAGACAACTCACCCGCACTTGTTCTTCTGTTTTCCCACTCTCTTTCGCTGCTTCTTGTATCAAAGGGCAATCCTTCTTCGCCTTGGTCATTCCTTTCTCAAAGTACCGGACGAGTACAGGATCGTACCCCTTCTTAGGTTTGGAGACTCTCTGCAAACACGTACTCATGAAAGTGAGTTTTTCTTGATAGAGGAGCAGTGCTATAAAACAAAGCCATTCCATCAAGCACACTTAAAGATATTGTAGGAGGCTGAAATTTGACGTATGCAATAACACTCGTACACGTCTCAGATAGGTCACATGCCTATTTCTGAATCACCCAATATAAACCAGAAGTGGGTAATACAAATTGCTTTTGTAGCTGAATGTTTATACGCAATGTTGATAAAAGTTGCAATTAATCTCTCCAGCCTGACAACAGGAAGGAAAAATCAGAGGATTTGAAATGTTAGCATCCGAACTACAAACAGAAGGATCAACTTTATACCATCTTCAAATGGCAGTTTGATATTTTTAAATATCAAACTGCCAGCTAAGCAAAGTGTTTGACAATTACATGTATATTCTTTAGATCTAGAGATACAACACTTATATTGTATCGCATAAGTTTTGTAGCGACTCACATTATTTTGTTTTTGAAGAAGCTCCAGTACTTTTTTTCTACCGTGAGTGACTCGTTCTTTCTCTTCTTTGGTGTTTTCAGTTATACCGCCCCTGATGTCCTCATCTGCTGCGATGTCATTCGCCGTTCTACCTTCCTGTAAATTAATATATGCAAACAACACACTGTAGGTAGCTAGGTAGGTACCATTCTTTATATAAAGTCTGCCCATTCTGTTAATATGGGCTAAAGAAGGTTAGAAAATCGGAACTAAACATGCCTTAATGTACAATCAATGGGGATGGAACATCTACATAACCCCCTATCTTCCCCCGGTAGTAGGTGCAACAGCAAAGTTTGGATAACTGATTTACGTATATCTGAGCATATGGCAATTTGGCCGTTGATTCCTCCAAATTACAGTTTTCCCTTTGCCTCGGGCTGCTGCTTCCAAGTAATTTACACAATGGTAGATCGTTATCAAAAAAGTTTACTTGTGATTTTTTCCAAAAAAGGACTTCAATTTGTTATGTTGCTGGATTGCTGAAGAATCGCCTGACCTTGTTCCTGATGACGGTATCAGCCCCATGCTGCAGCAGTATTTCCGCACACTTGGGGTGGCCCCGTGTAGCTGCGTCATGGAGGGGGGTTTTTCTCTGTTTGGGCATTGACAGGCATGGAACAGTGTACTTTTTCATAATTAGCATTGTCAAACAGCAACCACTATACATGTATAAGTTACACCGCTCACTCACTGCGAGATCGCTAGTATCCATTACCTAACCTTGCCTCTCCAAATCTTACCAGTCAATCTACATCTCACCAATACTGATTACTTTTTTATGGTGATTGCTAAGGGTAGTACTAAAATCTAAAGATACAAATTCAACAGAATTGTACATTATGACACAGGAATATACAATCCACTACAATCACCACCTACCCACTTGTCCAGTGCCTTCACATCTGCACCAGCTGTCAGTAAAGCTGATACAGTTTCATGTTTGTCATTCAGGGCTGCCCAGTGCAGGGGAGAACTTTGCTGAAAACACATCAGATAGTCTTCAACATGACAACAGGGCAGACAAACGTGCACTTGTGTTGCTGGCGGTGGCAGAAAATGGATGTCAAAGCTTACAAGTTGTGCATTTCTTGTATCACAAGGGTCAGTCTACCTACACAATTGTCCCATGCGTTCACATCTGCACCAGCTTCAAGTAAAGCTGATACAGTATCACGGTCGCCATTCTCGGATGCCAGGTGCAGGGGAGAATATTGCTGTATGACAAGTGCATAAGGTCTTTAGTAATGGAAACAGGATGGACAAAGGTGCACTTACATTGTATGTTACAGTTAGTAGTCAGCAACTATACCCCTATGTAGATGATGAATGTCACATCTTCTTGAAGTTAGTGTACCTACCCTCTTGTTCTTTGCGTTCATATCTGCATCAGCTGCCAGTAAGGCTGATACAGTTTCATGGTGGCCATTCTCGGCTGCCCAGTGCAGGGGACAACTTTGCTGTAAAACACATCGAATGATCTTCAGTATGACATGACAGACAATTATGTTCAACTTGGCATCAGTTTCAGCAGTAGTCAACAAATAACCTCTATGTTGAAGACGAATGTCAAATTGTACAAGATGTTATGGAAAAAATTATTGTATCTTAACAATAAATCTACCTACCCACTTGTCCCGTGCGTTCACATCTGCACCAGCTGCCAGTAAGGCTGATACAGTTTCATGGTGGCCATTCTCGGCTGCCCAGGGCAGGGGACAACTTTGCTGTAAAACACATCGAATGATCTTCAGTATGACATGACAGACAATTATGTTCAACTTGGCATCAGTTTCAGCAGTAGTCAACAAATAACCTCTGTGTTGAAGATGAATGTCAAATTGTACAAGATGTTATGGAAAAAATTCGTGTATCTTAACAATAAATCTACCTACCCACTTGTCCCGTGCGTTCACATCTGCACCAGCTGTCAGTAAGGCTGATACAGTTTCATGGTGACCATTTGCGGCTGCCCAGTGAAGAGGAGTCATTTGCTGTAAAACACATCAGATGGTCTTCAAGAGTGTGGTAACGTTGGCCAATTTGAATGATATTCAGCAAATAAAACATTGTGCAGCTGAAGATGAATGTGTAATCTTACAAAAAAGGAACAGAAAAAGCCCTTGAATCAGAAGAGTCAAATTGTACTTACCTCATTGTCCCGTGCGTTCACATCTGCACCAGCTGTCAGCAGAACTGACACGGTTTCATGGTAGCAATTCTCGGCTACGGCCGCCAGGTGCAGAGGAGTTCTTTGCTGTAAAACAAATGAAATGAACTTTGAACTTCATTTGATAAAAACAACATGGCAGGAGAAACTCCTGAGTTGTAATTTTACAACAGTCTATAAGTCAGCAGATTAAAGATAAAAAGTCGTCATTAAAATATAGTACATATAGTGTGGCGATATATACAATTTTAACCCTACCTAGACCGGGCTTTTTTTGACATGGGGGACCGGGGGGGCTCTTTGACCCCCCTACGAACTCGCGAACGGTATGTCGTATGACCACCAAATTTTCGGAGAATGGTGTACTAGTAAAAATTTATCATATCTACAATTTTTATGTCGTTATGACGTAATATGACGTCATTATGACGTCATTAATGTGATTTTATTGGCCAAAACCGTCTAAATAGGTTTTTCCCTGAAAACTAAATGGTATTCAACATAACTGTACCAAAAGTGTTTATGACAGAATATTATGGTGTACTAAGTCTTATGTTGCCCATAGCAACACCGGTGACGTCATAAAATGACGTCATGCATATTTAAGATATCCGCCATCTTGGATCATCAATCTTGAATTTTCAAAAATAGTTTTTTTTCATGATAAAGCCTAAAATACATTGTAAACATACTAAAGACCTTCATTTAAACCTTTTTTGGAAAAAGAAATGGAAGTATTGATGAAATTTTAATGAAAATAACCTGTATATACCTGTTCTGATGATATGGTCCGCCATCTTGGATTTTGGCCAATGACGTCATCAAATTAGCATAAATTATGCATATTTAATGATAAAATTTACATAAAATTATATGGGATGTTATTGATATTAGAAACCATGAGTAACTTGACATAAAACCCATAAAATTTTATTGTTGAAACAAGAAGTACTAAATTTAGCAAAAAATTCCTGTCAGAAACCCGTTGCCATGGCAACACAAAAAATTATTATCTTATTCCAATGATAGAGAATTGTTGCCAACAATATTCTAGGAAATGTCACCAAGTTTGGCCGTTTTACGGCTAGCCGTTCAGACGCTAGGTGACATCAAAGTTGCCGCGGGCACTTTTAGCCCCCCCCCCCGGTCTAGGTAGGGTTAAGACATGTTCACATACAAATAATCTGCAGAAGAAGAGTCTGAAACTCAATTTACAACTGTTTCTGCTACATGATTTGGAGAGTTCTGGGAATAAAGGATTGTCTGTGGTCTTCAGTATGACAATAGAACCGACAAAGGTGCACTATGTTAGTAACAGTTTGAATGGAATTGTTGGCCAGAAAATGTAGAAGATGAATGTCAAATCTTACAGAAATATTTCTTGTATCTCAGCCAGTCTACCTACTTTCTGGTCTCTTGTGTTCACATCTGCACCAGCTGTCAGTAAGGCTGACACAGTTTCATGGTGGCCATTCCCGGCTGCCAGGTACAGGGCAGTTCGTTGCTGTAAAACACATCAGATGGTTTAAGGACGGGCTGAAGTAAACTGGTGTTGTTTCGTAGTAGATAAGAGCTGGTGAATCTATAAACTGTTTTGGTTTGTGAAATGTTAGAGATACATTAAAGATATATAAGCTGAGGGCAGAAGACGGGTTCAGGAACAATTGGCTAGGTTGATGTTTAATGACGGAACAAAATAGGATGCTGCAGCAAATAGTCACCACCCCAAAGAGGTGATCGAAGATTACAACTATACATAAATAGTCAACTTCACTTTGCATTTCTTTGTGACTTGATAGAAAATGTGATAACCTCGCGCATGCACCAGGTTCCCCTTTCGCATTATGTCACACTTCATCACTATATGTTAATAAAATAGCAAGACATGGTAACAAACCCAACGGCCTGCAGCATTAGGGTTGACTCCCTCCGCTAACAGCTGCTTTACTCTGTCCGTGTCTCCTTTCTCTGCAGCCCTCACCAGCGCCTATAGCGGCGGCAGTCAGGAACAGGAGAAACAGCTGTCAACACTATTTTAATCATAACGAAACTGAACAATTGGTCAAATGTAAAGGATTGAATGGATGGGCGAAACACTACCAAAGGCACCAAGCATTTGGTTTGATTGAAAACAGGTTGACGCGTGTCAAAGCCTGTCTTTTAGGCATGATTTAGATATGTCTTTATTTCTCAACAGATGCAAAGGGATTCGACATGTCACGATACAAAAGGAACGCTGCACGAGTTGTTACGTGGAATGTACTGTGACTCAGGGTTTATTACAGATAACAGACATCAGCCAATATCTATATATGAAGATACTTACACATCTTGAAGAAACGTATTCATCAAACGCACCAGTCTATCCAGATTCTAATTCGTGCCTCCCTGTCATGTCTCATAGCATAGGATCATACCAGGGACATTCATAATATCGTAAGAAGACGTTGAACCTACCGCCTCTTTCTTCTCTTTACCGTCCCCTACTGTCTCGTCCATAGGCAGACCGTGCTACATGCAGAACCTGCCCGGTGACACCTGATGCACTAAGGCCAGCTAGATTCCTTTCCTGTATCGCAGAAACACACACAGACGTAAAGATACTAACGTTGTATGTTCCAAGCAATTGAACCGCCTTACTACTGCCTATTTACAACCATCGCGTGGAAATTTCGCCAGCACAAGCCTTATTTACAATCACAACCTCTAAAGCATCAGTTCGAAGGAGCGAAAATATCATGATTTTAAATACCATCAAAGCCATCCAAACGTAGCGTCGATACTTAATAATTCATTTAACATCAACAGTCTATCTGTATGCTGGAGAAATATGCTAAAATGTCTATTAGTAAGTGTGTGTACTTCATATCCTGCTACTCTTGTCAAGGGCACCTAGAGCTATACACACCTGTTACTTCCGGGTTTACCTAGAACTTTTCCAGACGTGTCTTGGGAGAGCTTGGGGACCTTTTCCCGATCTTTAAGACCTCTGCAAGGTTCTCAAACTTCTCAGTAACCAAAAACTGTTGGTTTTGACGTCACAAGACGCACAGGTGAGGTCCCACGGCGTCTTAAAGAACGAGCATGCCCATTGCGCCCGCAGGTGAGAAGACAGTTTCGGTAGGTCTCCCATGATTCATAGCGCGCGCGATGACGTAATCCGTCTTAACGGGGTGAATGACCTCAGCACGATGTGCCGGGATATTGGCTGTGGTTAGTGTGAGATGGTTGTTAAATATATAGCGTGTTTATCAAAGGGTTTAAGCCGCATTCTCTAAGGCTACAGCAAGTAAAGGCTACAGCAAGTAAATTTCATGGATGACATCCTCCACAGACTCCAAATCTAATGCGAGCGGGCGAAAAAAAACAAGACCGGCCGAAAAAAAAAAGTTCCTACATTTTAAAAGTTTGACTCAATCATTGTACAAATGGTTTTCATTTAGTGGGAACATCCCATATACACAGCCAGCATCACAAATCACTGCATCAAAGAAAGAAACAAAACATTACATCAGAGCCTTTTCTAGTCTCCTCTCTTCATAGTTATCTGTCATCCACCTTCCGGCATGGCAACTGACATCTTTGCCCATTTTCGGCATATTGACCACTGTCAGAAGGAACAAAATTTCTTTTTTTTTTCCAAAATCAGGAGAAAATTAATGCGCGCGCTGATGTCATCCATAAGAAAATACTTACTGTGGCCTAACGTTAAAATGCTTGTCCTTGTTTTCTGTTTTTCTAGCTACAGCTATTGGATTTCTCGTCCGAAACACCCTAGATACATGTATGTAAGGTCACCGTCTACCACCTTGCGAGGCTTTGCAGAACTGCGCGCAATGCATAATGCCAAATACTACTACCACTGAACTTTCTTAAACCCGTCCATTTCTTTCTCGTTCCTTCTTTGGCTGCATGATAGCTCATTTGTATCACACTTAAGTCTATATGAAGGTAGAAGATCTGTAAAATTGGCCAGCTAGAACTTGATACGCGAGAAATCTATGATAAACACTTGTGCCCTATAACCCCCTTTACATCATTGGACTATTCCAAGTGACGTCAGGACACCAGTACTGAGATCGGTTATTCCTTCATACAGTCTCGTCATGCTAGGCGCTATTTTTGGCTCAAGGAGTCTTTAATAGCCCAGTTCCTTAAAGACGCAGTGTAAGGCGGATACACGTCCAAGTAACGGTGCCAACTCGACTGTCTTCCGTCTTGGCGGTTCTTGAGTTGGAGTAAAAGTCTTGAAGTCGCTGCTAGGCTAAGGAGAGAGAAAAGAAGTGCGAAAGACCGGGTCGGTTTAGAAGGGAAGTTTTCCCAGCCCTGTGCGATCGGAAAGCTGAGTTTGCAGCAGGTTTCTGTAGCGAACAGGACTCTCTGTTTCCAGACCTTCAGCGGCTGTACGGAAGGACGGGATTCTTCTCAGGATAGAGTTTTCTACTGTAGTTCCAGTTTGTGGAAATCCACCTGACCGGCCCTGCACCAAAATGTCCGGCTGTGTTCCACCATACACCCTCGGAGAGAGCTGCTACTACCGATGTTACAACGAGAGAGGGTACGCCATGGAAATATCCGGAGACCCCTTCCTGACGTGTGTATGGCCTGGCGTGTGGTCAGGAAATACCCTATTGTGTCACTGTAAAGGTAGGAGTGATCTTGATATGACTGAGGTAGTGTATTTATTATCTGATTTTTAGTGTATTTAGTATGTACGTCGATGAAGGTTAGACATCCAGGTAATACGATACGCCAAAAAACAGTTAATCAAGCAACTGGATATAATTTTGAAAACGTCAGACGCTTCAGCTAGTATCCACTCCATCTGGAGAAGACCAGCAGGAAGATTGCAGATTTCCGGAATCATCTACGCTTCAGTCTACGCTGCCTCAAGGTAAGTATCACACCCACCAGCCTACGCCTAAAAACTTCCATCAGAGGCTTCAACGCCAACAAGATCATCTTCAACGCAGAAAGAAAACTACTAAACGAAAGGGTAAGACAGATCAACTACAAATTGGACGGTCTAAACGCGAGGAAATCTAACCTTGAAAAACTACTGAGGGAGAAGGGAAAAGACAGACAGAAGACCAAATTTGATCGTTTACAGCAAAAGAAGACTATTAGCGCAGCAGATAGTGACCCAAATTGGAGATCAAACAATTGCAAAAGAAATTGCAGTTCCGAACCCAAAACCACTACACAGGCCAAAACCGACGAGAGGTGGGTAAAAAACCTAAGTAGCCATACTCTCACAGAACCAGAGAAATCACTGCTTTCTAAAGGTCTAAATTTTGCAGTAGCACCCGACAAGATTCCCAGCATTGACATTGTCACAGAAACCGAGTCAGCAATTCGTCGGGCACGATTACCACAGAGACAAGCTGAAGCCTTGCGCACCAAAGTAGCTACCACCCTGAAAGTCTCCAAACCCCCTACTAGTAACATCACACGGGAAGAACGTACCGCTCTCAAAGATTTGGCCACCAATCAAGACATATTGATTCTTCCTGCAGATAAGGGCAGATGCACAGTAGTCTTAGACAGGGAGCAGTACGACAGGAAGGTACAGGACCTATTGGGAGACAAAGACACCTACACGCCCTTGAAAAAGGACCCCACTAACAAGTTTAAAGGGAAAATCAGTTCAGCTCTCAAGAAATTGCAAACTGAAGGAGTTCTGGATCGCCCCACCTACCTAAACTCAATCCCACAACGGAACAACCCCCTGCTTTCTACGGCCTTCCCAAAATTCACAAACAAAGTGTCCCTCTACGACCCATAGTCTCCAGTATAGGCTCTGTCACCTATGAGTTAGCAGGTTTTCTAGCCAAGATTTTGGGACCACTAGTGGGGAAATCTCAGCACCATGTACAGAATAGTGCCGACTTTGTCAACAAAATCAAAGACATTCATGTAGAGGATGATGAAACCATCACTTCGTATGACGTGTGCTTACTTTTCACCTCCATACTATGTACCACCTAAGGAAGCAGTGTCAGTAGTCAGGGAAGCCTTGGAAACCGACGATACACTTGCAGATAGAACCAACCTATCCGTTGACCAAGTTTGTGAGCTACTAGAACTCTGCTTAGGATGCACATACTTTACCTACAAAGGACAGTTCTACCAACAAATGCACGGCTGTGCTATGGGATCACCAGTCTCACCAATTGTTGTAAACCTGTACATGGAAAAGTTTGAAAACAAAGCCCTCAGCACTTTCAATGACACTCCCCCGGCCAACTGGTTTCGATATGTAGATGACACTTGGTGCAGATTGAAAAAGAGGGTAGCTGCTGACTTCTTTGACCACATCAACCAGATAGATGACAGCATCAAGTTCACACAGGAGCCAAGTCATGGCAACATGCTCCCTTTCCTAGACACCAAAACTATCGTAGAGGAAGATGGTAACCTTCGTTTCGAAGTGTACAGGAAACCAACCCACACTGATCAGTACCTGGCCTTTGATTCCCACCACCCTTTGGAACACAAACTAGCAGTGATCAAAACTCTCTTCCATCGTGCAGACAACATTATCACTTCAGACCAAGCCAAAACGGACGAACATAGACACCTCCGAGGTGCCCTGGCTAAATGTGGCTACCAAAACTGGACTTTCAACAAAGCGCTCAAACCTTCAGATCAGTCTAAGAAAACCCAGAAGTGCAAACCATTGACCAACAAAAACAAGGCCAACATCACTATTCCGTAGCTTTCGTCAGTGACTGAGAGACCAGAGGGGAAAGCAGGTTTATAAGTACAACATGTTGATTGATATGCAAATAAAGTGAAGACAAATTTTTGAAAGTCGAAAAAGGAACAAAAGTCAGACAAGTCAAGACAAAATTATGCAAATTAGTCTGACAGCTCCTGTTATACAGAACAGGAGCTTAAGTGTTGTCTGTCCTCGGGGTTGGGAGTGCCAAATCCCAAGTGCCGGAAAGATCGACTAGTAGCCCCCCTTCCCTGTTGAGGGTGGGGTTGTACATTCTTTCATATATTGCCTCTTTAACACCCCGTTCCCACCAGCGTGTTTCGCGGTCTAAGATATCCGTGGACTCGAGTTTGAAAGAGTGACCCTGGTTGTGTTGTAGGTGGTTGAAAATAGCTGAGGAGTAGCCGTTGGCACTAGGTCGGTAAATAACATTCGCCTTGGTACCTTTGTGAGGTCGGTCCTTAGGGTGTACCAGTCTTTGTCTGAGGGTTGAGTGAGGTTTGAAGTTAGTGGCTATGTTGAAGTTTTGGAAGATCCGTCGGAGTTTCTCAGATACTCCTTGGACATACGGAATAGTGATGTTGACCTTGCATATAAATCAATAGGTTGTGCTTTTAAACCTGCATTTCCCCTCTGGTCTCTCAGTCACTGACGAAAGCTAGTAGATACTAGCTGAAACGTCTGACGTTTTCAAAATCATATCCAGTTGTTTGAGTAACTACGTTTTGGCGTATACATTTTGTAGTTATTGTTGGGTTTGATTTCTTTTCCGTGTGCAGTGGAGTATGATCATGAAATGGCCGAAATTTTGCGAGACATATGAATTGGGAGGTGTTAATAGAAAAGCAGTTTTTTGTAGCCTGGGAAGGTGAATAAAGGTAGGGAACATTTTGGTGACCATTTTAAATAACCTATCTCTTTCTGTGATATTACCTTGATGATTTTAATGTTACGTTTTGTATCTTCACGGCTCTATGATCGGATTACTGACTTTTCTTCTACACCGTAATTGTCGTGTATATGACATTGTATGAAGCTTTCACTCGTCCCGATGGAAAGTTGTGTGCTATGTTTTTAACGTTGTTTAGATATAGAGGGCAATGGCAATGGAACCACGTTTTCACATCAAAAGTGGATTTTACCGCGGATATGAACTTAGGCCACAGCAAGTAATTTTTATGGATGACATCAGCGTGCGCATTAATTTTCGCCTGATTTTGAAAAAAAAAAAGAAATTTTGTTGCCTTCTGACAGTGGTCACCATGCCGAAAATAAGCAAAGATGCCTGTTGCCATGCCGGAAGGTGGATGGCAGATAACTATGAAGAGAAGAGACAAGAAAAGCATCTGTTTTAATGTTTTGTTTCTTACTTTGACGCAGTAATATGTGATTCT